CGATTAAGTTCACATCACCCTCAGCAGACAGGCTTCCCCAGACCGGGCTGCCCCTCCTAAGTCGGGGGCAAGTCAACCAAAGTGGGGAGAAGGAGGAGACAAAAAGTGTCAATAACTTTAAATATTTGAGTTCCCAAACTGTTTCTAAATACTTGGACAAATGACCTCAAAGAAGGTGTTATTTTCTGCAGTGCTCAACCTGGGGATAAATCAAGAATCATTATGTTAGGATGAAATTTTAGTCTCCTAAAACTTAATAGGCTGGAAAGAGGGCAGAATGGCAGTCAGTTGATGATGGCACCTGTCAAATTTCAATCTCGAGATCTTCTTGTCAAGCCAGCCTCACAGATGGAATGAAAGCAACTAAACAATAAATCTGTGGTGTGACCCTTTCCCAAGTCACAATATTGGTGGGAATGTAGGAGTGGCTGTCTTCATCTGCTCAGGCTACTGTAACAGAATACTATAGACTGGGTGGCTGATAAACAACAGAAATTTATTTTTCACAGTTCTGGAGTCTAGAAGTCCAAGATCAAGGCACCAGCCATTTTGGTGTCTGGTGAGAACTCACTTCCTGGTTCATAGACAGCCATCTTCTCACGGCGTCCTTACATGGCAGCAGAGGGAGAGAGCTTTCTGGGGTCTCTTTTACAAGGGTGCTAATCCCATTTACGAGGGCTCCACCCTCATGGGCTAAGCACCTCTCCAAGACCCCCTTCCTAACACCATCTTATTGAGGGGTAGGATTTCATCATCTGAATTTCAGAGGAATACAAACATTCAGTCTGTAACAGTGGCTAAGAACCCCCCACTAAACCATCTAGCCGGTTGGATAGCTGTAGGACCTGGATGTCTAGCTCCTCAATCTGTAGCTAAACTCGTGTATCAAACGTAAGTCTGACTCCCCTAATTAAAACATTTCGGCGATTGTTTTCTGTAAAATAAAGCCCAAGCTCCTTGTCATGTATGACTTCATCTACAGCTTGGGCTGTGTCATCTCCCACCATTCCTGCCCCATGGTTTGAAGACTGGACAGGATGTGGTTCTTCTGTGACCTGTCTTGCCATGTCTTGTGCCTTTACCCTAAAACTTCTTCCTCTACTTATCTTTCAAGACAAAGTCCAGGTATCATATGTAGGAAGCCTCCATCCAATCCCCAAACTTGGGCTTATAGTATCTCTGGTTACTCGGATTTCTCAGTAGGCCTCTCTGACATAGCATTTACCATCTTTAATCAACTAATTTATTGCATTGCTCTCATTCTGAGCTCTTGAGTGTGCTCACGAGCACAGAGTCGGAGCCCAATACATGTACATTAAGTAAATTACATATTCCTTTGGTGTTGTTTGGGAACGGTTTGAAATAATCACTTGGTGACATCCTCCTCCCTCTACCTTTTATTGTCTTTGGGCATTTCCTATTGTCTGGGCAGTTCTTTCCAGGCTTTAGATAATAATTCTGTGATAATACCTCCATGGCAAGGCTCCCTGAGTAACACATCCAAATGTCGTGACCCACGCGAGAGTTACGGTTCTTTGATGAAGACCGATGTACTGTTTGAGCTGACCCATCCTTCACCAATTCTCCGTATCCCCAAATCATTATATTTCATTCCCTGAATAATGCATGGAACTTCCCCTTGAGAGCAGCATCTTCTCTGCGTTGTCCATCTCTCTGTGCCTAGAACATAGTGGGTGAGTGGATGAATCCTGTTTATTTCTCTCTAGAACAATCTACTTATTTTCTGGGAGGTAGTTTTCTCCCCACCCATCCTGTTCCCTAGCACCTGGAAAGAACAGTTTTATCACCCCAGAGGAATACCCATTCTCACAATATCTTAAAAAGTTCTGTGGTCCATGAGGTATTACATCTACAACTGTACATATGAAAACCCTCTCCAGAGTGTATTGGAATTGACATGTAAGCCGTATTTTCGTTTAGAGAAAGCTAGACTCTTGCACAAAAGTTGCAGCTTTTGCATGTGGCGTATGTCACGTGATAACTATGAGCGTGCTGGAGACTTGTTAGTGAATGATAATTTTGTAAATGACTGCGTATATTCAATACTGCTGGTGAGAAAAAATTAAATTACTCATTTCCTGGTGAATTAGTGTTTGTCAAACTATTCAGTCCTATTGACTAAATTACTTCTATTAAAGCCCTAAACTAGCTTATCCTAGAGGTAACAGGAGAGTTAACAGAACTGACTTAAATGTGTGTGATACCTTTCTGTTCCGCCCACTAGGACCGATTTAACACAATGCACTGTGTTCATTTAGACACTTATCATTTTTGCTAATGAGTATATTTTAGAAAGATTATCTATTAAAAAAATTATTTATTTATTTTTTACGGTGACATTAGTTAACGAAATCCAATAAGTTTCAGCTGTATACTTTAACAGTAAGGCATAGAGATATTTACACTGTGTGTTCACCCATAGTTAGATTTCTTTCTGTCACCACATATTTGACCCCCTTTACCCTAACTACCTCCCCTCTCCCCCGTCGCCTCTGGTAACTACTAGTCTATAGTCCATGTCCATGAGTCTCTGTCCTGTTTATTTGTTGCTTTCAGGTTTCTATCCCATATATAAGTGATATCATGTGATTTTCTACTTTTTCTATTTGGCTTATTTCACTTAGCATGATTATCTCGAGGTCCATCCATGTTGTCGCAAATGGCAATATTTCATTTCTTCTTATAGCTGAGTAATATTCCATTGTATATGTGTACCACAGCTTCTTTATCCAGTCAGAAAGATTACTTTTGAGAGAAGTAATTATCTCATGCCTGAATGTAATGTACAGCTATACGAGTTATCCCTGCACAGCCCGAAAGGACATTATTCCAATCGGCTACAACGTAAATGGCACCTCCTACAGGTGTGCATTGCAAAACTTGCCAGCCTTAATACCCCTTCCTCAAAAGGATACACGGAGACAATCAGGTGTTCCAACTAACACAAATTGAAAATGAGCAAAAACAAAAGATGTGGTTACTTGAACCTTCTAGAGAAATTTTAGATTAAGAAAATAACCTCTAAATGATTTGTATTTTTTTCTTTTTAGGCAAGGCAACCCCTGGTCGACCTCACAGATTACAAGGACCTTGTCAGTTTACAATCCCTTATTTTTATTTTTATTTTTATTTATTTTTCATTTTTTATTTTTTACACCTACAGCACCTGGTCTTCCTAGGTGGTCTCCCATCCGAGTACTAACCAGGTCCGACCCTGCTTAGCTTTGTATTTTTGTTTTTTGAAAGGTGTTGAATAGCTACTATTGTATGCATAACAGGAGAAGCCGAAATCGAAATGTACACTCAGCCATAGCCAATGGCAGAATGGAGTGATTAATGTCAATGATTCATATCGCGCTAGGAATTTAAAGCTGAAAAATTAATTTTCTAGCAAGTCTGTTAGAGATGTTTTATAAATTGATTTGTCATTAAAATGACTTTTAAACATAAAAGACTACTTGAGATAATCCTTGACTGACTTGATACCAAGGTCCAGTGTGGAAAGACAATGATCCAGTATTGAGTTAGTGTTATGGATCTAAACCTATGTCTGAATTTTATAGGAAGCAAAATATGTCATTTGGTGAAACCGAAGGATTAGTTGTAATAATTAAGGATAGACTGTTATTCCTAAATTTATAGCAAGCATACGACAGAGCAGAACTCTTAAATTATAGGTTTGGATGAAAAGTGGAACAAAAGACCTGAATTGGCCTCTGTAACAACTGGAATAACAATGTGATAATTATAAACTACACTTTAGCCCTTACGCCCTCAAGTGTAATTTAATGAACAGATTAACGGGGAGCAAAAAAGAAAAGGACTAACATTTACAAAGACCTATTTTGTGCCATATACTATGCTAGATACGTAACTACTATTGACTCATTTAATTCTCATAATCACTCTGAAAAGTACACGTTGCTCTCCTACTTTAGTTGCTGAATTTCTGCAAGATTATAAATGCTAACTGTCACCCAGTGTTCCAAGTTATTTTTGAATCAAATATCATGCTGTTTTTGCTACTAGGATGACTCTTGAATATAGCATAGCATAGTAGGTATGCAAAATTAGAAATATTTTAAGAAAGATCAATCATGATATCTAATAAAGGAACTGTAATTAGAAGCAACAAACGATGCCCAACCGATCAAATATTATTTGCTGTGGTCCACAATGGTGTAAAATGAGGCCCTACTCATTTTAAAAAGCTCTTTAGATGCTGCTTAATAAAAAGATTCTTCTTTCATTTCTTCTTTGCTCGTCACTTTAAAAAATGACCTTCAGAACTCTATTTGCCACGACGATCGTCTCTATAAATGCCGTGTTTACTTAAAACACTCCCGAAATGTTCATGTGTGAAAGAAATGTCTCAGACAAACATATACAGACACGGAAATCGAAAAATGTCAATGTAAGATTCGATACCACTAATTGGAGAAGTTGTATGTATGTATATTATAAATAATGGGAGCCTGTGACACTTTTGCTTCAGTTAATAATTTATTTCAATAAAGTCGTACTTAGTTAATACTGCCCATTTTTCATGTTACGCAAAGCAATAGTAATCTGCACAATAAATTAAAAATTATTATTAAATTAGGTAGGCTGACTAATAAGTTCCCTACATGGATTTTCATATAATCAGTAATGATGGCAAAACTGATAGATACTATTCATTAAGCACCTATTGCATGTCAATTACTGCGATGTGCTCCTAAAACATCATTGCATTTAATTCTTGCAAGAAGTCTGCGAACTAGGCATTCTTGCCTCACGTTAAAGAGAGAGGAGGTGAGCCTAACGTAAGGAAGGAATGGACTATACAAAAGTTTAATCTGAGCATTCTATAAATATCGATGGCCAAAGAGCTGTTTATAATTTGATATTATTTTAGATAACAGGATTTATTTATATTTTTTAAATAAGCAGCTAATATTTGGGAATTTCTTCCCATTGTCATTCTTTTTCCCTTACAGGGAACAAAAGTCCTGCAGATGTTCATGTGGTACCTGAATCCACGGCAAGTCTTTGATCTTTCTCAGGAAGGGCCAAAAGATGCGTAAGTCTGGAAATACCCTCCGTGGTCCATATCTTTATAGGCAAGTGAGAAGGACTTCCTGCTTTGGCGTCAAGCTGCATTATTTGGTTACTTTGTGAAAAATTTTCTTACCCCCTCTCATCTACTTTCTCACCTGTACTGTTCTCTTTTAAAACTTCATCTGGTGTTTTCCCTAGTCTTTATTGGGTTAACTCCCTTCGAAACACATCTTCTCGGTTGTTAACTCAGTTGAGTCTTTCTCGTGTGTTTGCTGCTTGTGTACATGCAATTGTGGGTTAGGAGAAAGTCTGAAAATTGAGAAAGGATCCACCAATTTTCTATTTATGCAGATACAACTTTGGAGACGAATGTTAATAGGAATGTGCCTTTGTGGAGAGCGGCCATATTTGTTTACGAATATGTCCTTATATTTGAATCAGGGTGTGTGTGTGTGTGTGTGTGTGTGTGTGTCTTATATTTGAATCAGAGGGTGTGTGTGTGTGCATGTGTGCGTGTGTGCGTGTGTGTGTGTGTGTGTATCTGTGCCCACTTGAGAGATTGATTAATTGATCACAGTGGGGGAGACATTTTAATTCCTGCTCAATCTCTTTTCTGAGCTGCTCAGAAGTTTTACGCTCTTTTTTTTGTTAGAAGTGTTGAAATAAAGTCTAGATGGAGGTGACACGTGTTTAACTTCTTCCCGTGGTGGAAAGAGGAGCACGTGGTGGGAAAGGACAGAGACATGGTTACCGCTTTCTGACTCCCTTTAGAAAACCCATCTATTAAGATAGTTTGGATATTATCTGATAATATCCAAAATTAGAACTTAAGGGATACTAATTATTTTTAACAAGTAATAATGTCAGAGGCAAAGAAACAGCAGCTTGGATAATTTTTAGAGAAATGATATTCTTGTATGTAATGGATAGATTATATGCATATATATATTTAAGCATGTATGAGAACATTAAATATAAATTTCTGCTAATGTTCTCTTAATCTATAAACTTCTTCCCCACTAGAGTTTGCTGTAAGACTTCTACATGTTTTTCTACATTTGGGTGCACTAAGGCAAATCTTGTACCCTGACTTTTGCCCTTTTAGATGCTTCATTTTCTTAAGGTTTTATCACTTTAGTTAAACTTTAGGTAGATACTTCATAGATCAGCAAGAGAACATAGCAGGACAGGAAATATTTTTAGGAAAAATATTATTTGATTTAAATAGGTGATGTTTTCTAGAACAAATCCATTAACAGCTTCATTTAGGCAAACAACTTCACTTGGGCAAACATTTTGACAGGAGTGGTATCGCTGCGTTTTCTTAAGAGCCACCATGAAAAATAAAATAATCTAATTTTAGTAGGCAAATTCAAAATGAAAGAAAACCAGTAAAACTTCCCTCTTTGGGCTGAGGTGTATAATGGGGGTTTGACTGTTAAGTGAGTCGAGAGGTAGATGGAATTATGGATGTGGCAATGGATTATCTTCCCCCTGTTTTTCTGAAAAAGATTTTTTAGGATTAAGAATGAGAAGTTGAGGTTCGAAAAATAAATAGATCCAGGAAAAGCTAATAAAATATAAGGAGGAAATGTATAAGGCCAATTTATTGACAATTAATGATGATTTTCTTTGAGAAAGGAGGGAGGAGAATGATGGGAAAAGAAAAAGAAGAGAGTCCAAACTAATGAGGAAAATAATATGAATTGACGCGTTAATAAGAATTAAGGGAAATAAAACTCTAGGACATCCTAAGATCCCATTCCAGTGCCGGCCACTTAAAAACGATGTTTGCTGCCAGCCTCTGGTCCAATTGTTGGCATCAGCCCTCATGTGGTTGCTTGGTAACTGGTTTTGATGTCGTGATTATCCTCATGATTATACATTTTCTCCAGGGATACCCTCCCCGCCCAACCCCCCATTTTTGCCATGTGTTTTCTCTTTGCCGTGGCCAGTGATGTGCTCTTCTGTTAACTTTTTCTTCTATTTCCTCTACAGGCTTGAGTTGTATAGGAAAGTACCAAATCTGCGGATTCTGGCCTGTGGTGGCGATGGAACGGTAGGTCCCTGAAATAGAATCCAGCTCTCTCCCTGATTTCTTCCATCTTTCTTTTGTTCTTCTTATTCTTTCCCTTTATTCGTCCTCTTTATTCTTTTCCACCTCGCGCTCTTTCCAATCCCTTAAAGCAGGGGTCCCCAACCCCTGGGCCATGGACTGGGACTGGATCCGTGGCCTGTTAGGAACTGGGCCGCACAGCAGGAGGTGAGCGGTGGGTACATGAGCGAAGCTTCATCTGTGTTTGCTGCCGCTCCCCAGTGCTAGCGTCACCGCCTTGGCTCTACCACAGGTCATCAGGCATTAGATTCTCATAGGAGCACCGGTCCCTGGTGCCACAAAGGTTGGGGACCGCCCGCTGCCTTAAAGATCATCAATTGGTCCCATCTATAGTCATTTTTGAAGGAAAGATAGAGTTTAATGCCATGGATATATTTTCCTCTGTTTTATGTGTCTCATCTACTTTTCCATTTGCCTCCACTTATGTTGATATATTTCGCAGAAGCAAAGAATGTGACATTTAGATTCTGCTGCCCAGTGTCTTTTTCTTCCGTATTTGAAGTCTGCTCTTGCAAGACCTCGGCTTTTGTTGTGAACTATCATTGGCTTTTCTCTAATTTCCCTAATTAGAATGTTTTATTTTCAAAAGTCGCAACAGAATCTTCTAATTTTATCTCTCATAGCACATTAGCACTTAATGCAGTGTTGGATACACAGTATGTACTAATAATAACACTGAGCAAAAAAGGACAGTGATTCCGCTGGTCCTTTAAGATACTCTGTAGAGAGAAAAACATTTTTTTGATGGGAAAATAGCATTTACCATTCTCAAGTTTCACGATGCACATTATTATCTTATAATATTTATCACAAAGTCTTAAAGAAGCCAAACCTATTTCATTTTGTTTAAAATTATTTGACCATGGAATTTTTTTTCTCCCACAATACCCATTAAATTTCAATCAATTGTAGTGTTCTTGGGAGATATATTTAGAGATATGATAGTGTGGGATTTTCATAACTTTCTTTGGTAAGAATTACATCCAAACAAATAAATAAATATGTATGTATAAATTAATATATTTAATTAATACACACAGATTAGTTATCTTTAACAAAAGGGTAAACTCATTCGTGACTCTTTACTATGGTTATCTTCCTTATTTCAGAAGCTAATTACCTTCTTATATACTTTGGCATCTCGCCCATATCTTTTCTCTTCTAAATGTCAGTGGCAGCAGCAGACAAGCCGAGGTTATGCCTGGTGTCCTGAATTCATAGTTCTTCCTCTTTCTTAAGTGACCATGACCTCAAGTCCACATCAGCGACCTCTTTCATCTCCTGATCTTGGGCTTCCTCATTGACTGAGTGTACCACCTTCCAAATTTCCCCTTCACCCACCGAACCGCCCATCTCCCCGCTCTCTCTCTCACCTTGCTTCTTTCCTTCCTCTACCCAGTGGATATGTGTAGGAAGCACTGTTCTAGGCTATGCGATATTGAGGCATTCTCTGCAATTAGATACGTATTGAAAAACATGGGATTTCAAAGCATAAAGGACAAAGAGAGAAGTCAGCCAAGTTCAGACACTTGTGAAACACCTGTAATTACGGAGTCTGAGCCAGAGTTCAAGAGGAAAAGGAAAAGATAGAAGTGAAAGGTAGTCTAACCTGTGAAGCAAACAAACCAAAAAGGAGTTTCAAGTAAAAGGAGAGACTGGAGAATTATCATTGAATTTGCAGACTCGGGAGTAACTGGTGGTTTTCAAGATAATAGTTTCAATAGAATCTCTGGGACAAAACCCAGGATGATGAGTAAGTGAGACTTGATATGTTCCTAATGGATCCTAATGACCAGGCCCAATTACAGTGCTGAATATCGATGAACGTACTCTGGTGCCATTAATATCATCCTGTTTGACATGTAGACTCCTTGGTTTTACTTCTTTTCTTATCCCATCTTTTTCTAGCATTTCTTCTTTAAATACACCATAATTAATGGGTATTCCACAAGGCTTAAATATAACTTTTATGTTCTAGATACTTTTTTTTCTCTTAGAGACCTTATCTATGTTCCTAACTTCAGTTTTCACATCCTTGCACATAACTCACAAATGCACTGGACATTTACTTGGGTCCCTTGCAGCAGGCGTGTCTAAAATAAAAGTAGTATAGTTACCTTAGAGGCGGCACATACTTTGGAACTAATTATTTTTGTCAACAGTAGCCTCTGTAGTCCAATCACTCAAAATTAAAACTTTGCTTCACTTGTATCTTACGTAAGAACAGGTTTTATTTTATTTTACCTTGTTAAAATAAGGTGTTTTGTGAAAGATATATGGGGTTTATGAAATATTTATCAAGGCATATGATTGATATTTTAAATATTGTCAGTTAAGAATATGAAAGTTTTAATTTTTGCTGGTGGCAGAGTTTATATAAAAAAGAGGTTTCCTGGTGGATGTCTGAAGAAAAACTGCTGGCTAGAGGCAAGTGAGTATAATTTTTGAGAGCATCAGGTATATATATGACGTAAGGTGCTTAGCTTTTCATTAACTTACTATCACTATAAAGGCTGTCAGAATTCTTTCAGTATAGTGACAAAGGTTCAGGGAGGGATTGGAAATGGAATATTTTTGACGGATTAAGATGAAACTATATTAACTGTTAACCATGTTAAAATGTACAAAGTGTAATTTAATATATAAGCACCTTGCATTAATTTGGAAAAACATTATTAGGCTTCAATATTAATTTAATTTTATGTTATTGAAAAATACAAAAAGGCAGAGGGATATATCTCCCACTATTGCACTTGGAGGTAGAAGAGGGAGTTCCGCCACTATTTCTGCGACCTTTGGCAAGGTCCTTAACCTCTTCCGAGACATTCTAAATCTGTAAAGGGGTACTTTGAATCTCTAAGGGTCTTCATGGCTGTAGCATTATAGTGAAATAGACCATTGCTGTGCAAGAGAACTATAATGCAAGCCTTATTTTAAATTTTAAGTTTTGTAGAAGGCACTTAAAGTGAAAAAAGAGATGAAATTAATTTTACAATATAGTTTATTTAACCCAATATATCCAAAATATTATCATCTCAGCATGCAATCAGTATAAAATCCTTAATGAGCTATTTTATGTTCAATTGGTACTGTCTTCGAAATCTGGCAAATATTTTATAATTCCAGCACCTCCAATAAGGATTAGCCACATGGAGTGCTCAGTCCCCTGCTGTGGCCAGTGGCTGCATACGTAGTCGCTCCGTCACTGGTTTGCGTAATCCTGAGGTTGTCACATTGCTGCAGGTATCCGATGGGCTGGTCCCATCTGTGATCTCTAGGCTGAGAGAAATCTCGGCTCACTCAAGAATGACCTCAGACTTTCATGGTCTCCAACTAGAATTAGCCTCTCTCTGGTCATGAGGTAAATTTGTATTCTCTCCCTCTCTTGCCCACATCTGCACCCACCCAGATCTCAGTGGCTGCCACCCTGCTTAACTATTCAAGAGCATGTGAACCTAGACACTGAAGGCACATGGATCCTCCTCTTCTCATGGCCCCTTAGAGTGTGACATGATCCCCACCTGTCTGGCTCCTATGCCTGATGAACAGGGCTGGATCAGCACATCCACCTTTAACCACAGCAACGTCCTTCCAAAGGTCTGGATTTTAGCCACTCACTTCATGCTTATGTCTTGGCTTCTCTAGATGAGGCTACACACTAAATAGTAGGCACCCGTATGTCTGATCTACTACAGGGAAAAAAGTAATATTTTCCTTTAATTGACAGTGGCGGATCGATCACTCCAAGTCTCTCTTCTCCCGCAGCCTCAGCTTCACGCACATGCAAAGGAGGAAATGCATGGTCTACCTCGGCAGTAGGCAGTGTGAACGAGTAAATGGATGTTCTAAATCTATAGTCTATTTCAAAAAGCTCATACCCTGACTTCTTTCTTGATTTCTTTAGGGCTGATTTTAAACATTCCTTTCAGCATTTGACGACTTCGTAAACTCTTTAGCGCAAATATAAATTAAAATATCAAAGGGAAGGGTCATGGGGATACGTGTTAGAAAGGGACACCCAGTCGTTAAATGCTGGCTCGATTATCCATCAGAGTTCAGGCATTTGCCCTGGTTTTCTCTGATCTCTCAGTAGGGGTAGCCTTCCTTTTTCTGCCTGCACGTAACACAAGGAAATGCGATGTGTGTCCTGTTCAGATAAAATGTCAACTCACTGTCCTCTCCACCTCTGAGCCGCCTCTCTTGTTAGTATATTGCAGAATGAAAGTATGGCTCAAAATGCACTTGGAGAACATTTAGTGACGGCTAAAGCTGCACATGAACAGGTGGTGGCAGCATTGGCCAGCAGCTGCGGCAGCGGCACGGCTGGGCTGCTCAGGGACAAAGCCGGCAGCCCCACTTCCTCTAGCACAAAGGAAGGAAAGAACTCTGCAAACTGGAAAATGCTTTCATCCGGTTAGGATAGTTTTCTTCAGTTGCGGTGGAAAATGTGCCAGGTGCTCTGTATTGCAATTAATCAAATTATTTCATTAAAAGGTGCTGGATAAGCTGGTGGAGATGATTTGGGGAAATGCGAAGGTCCCAGCAAACACTTTGGGCCTTGAGGTCTTTCATACAGTTTTGCTCTTATAAAGGACAGAGATATGGTTTAGTTCTCAAGATCTTTTATGTCTCCGGCTATTGTAGGTGTATTTGTTTCCATTCCCGTTTTTATAGCACCTTTCTGCCACAGTGCACCTCCGCTGTTAGTGTTTTTGATCATCTGTGAAAGGAAAATCTTTGTGATTTGATGGAGTCAGAGGTGGGATTGACTTGTGAACTTCAGTGGAGAGACAGGAATAAAGCACTTCGCTTCTAGGAAACTGGACCTTTACAGATGTAGTAAAAAAAAAAAAAAAAAGAAGAAGAAGAATGTAGCTTGATCATAGCAGCTACTTTTAATTTAGCGTTTCCTGTTTTTCCGGCACACGCTAAGCAATGTCTACTCTTTATTTAATTAATAAAATAACCCTAAGCGGCAGATATTATTCTTATCCTTTTTAAAAAACAATTTTACAAATGAGGGAACTTAGAGAGATGGTGACTTGCCTAAACTCACGCAACCAGTGTGTGACGGAGCTGGGCTTCATACTCCGCTGGTCTCCCTCCCTCCGCCCCTGCACCCTCCCTCTACCCCTACATTCCCCCTCCACCCCTACATTATGCTGCCTTCAGAGGAAGCTGGTTGTTGGGTGGTGGTGATGTAGCTCCTTGAGCTCCTCCTGTTGCTCCTCCTGTACAAAGGAAAGATACAAACCCACCTCCGCCAAAGGACTGGGAGCCTCACACTGATTGTACCCGAGAGAAAATCTGTGCTGGGAAAGGCAGGAGGCATTTGATGACTCCAGGGGTGATGTGATGATGAAATACTAAGATTATCTGCTTGTATTTAGGGGAAAATTAAATATTCGACTAATTGGCTGGTAGGAAAAGGAGATAGAATATATGAGTGCAGTATAAAGCCAATCAATTGATAAGAAAGGGGAAGATCCTTTCATTCAAATCAACTATACGTTTTCCTTTTCTGTACAGGCCAAGTTTGTAAGAGGAAAGGAGACAGTTTAAAGAGACCTGAGGCTCATGCCACTTTGTGAAACTATAGCACAGTGTCCCCTGGGTTCTGGGCAACCTTCTCTGAGAAAACGAATAGGAACAGAGCTTAAGAGGGTTTGAAGACACCCCATCAATTCATGGAAGTCTCAAGACACTTATTTCAAAGTCATTTAAGAGTCATTTGTATATAATGGGCTATGGATTAAACCCTGAACCTTCCCGTTCATCACAGTACTAGCATTTTCCTGTGATTTAGCATTTTTCTTTGCAGGCTCATTTCCAGAAGAAGTCGTTTTGTTGTGTTTGATTTTTTCTTCTCTCCGCATCACTCCATTGTCCCTTTCTGGCAGTCTGAATGGTTTCCAGGACCCTGATAGGTTTTCTATGGGTGGCTATGGCTCCCATCCTGAGGAGATGTCAGGGCGCTTCGGGTATGTCCGTGAGCTGCCAGGAAGTTGGGCTCATGATTAGAGAGGTTTCTCCCTCTGGCCCTAACAAGTCTGAGCTTTCTAAGGACTCTGGTCTCAGGCACTGGTGGTGATTCTTCTCACTCTTCCTGGCCTCTTATCTCCAGGCCTGGAAGCAGCCTGCTTCCTACACAGCCTCCTGCCAGCAGGGGGCGCAGTCCTAGTCCCCATCATCAGACAGAGACAAGCTCCCGGCTTCCTTGGCTTGTAGCTTTGTGTTCTGCTTGTTTCTGGCCCACAAAGATTTATTTCTTTCCTCTATCGTTGTGTCTACAGTGAAATGGGGTATTGAAAGTGTGAACTCAGCAGTATCTTTACCAAGGATAGAGTGATATATTTCTACTAAAATAAGAAAAAAAGATTAAATTTAAATCTACCCCAAAGAAAGTGGACTGACTGGTAGGTACAAACCACGAAGGGGCGGCCAATTGATCATCTCTCAGAGTTTTAAAGAACCTGCCTTCTTTTCCTATCTTTGAATGGGATGTTGAATTAGATTCCTGCTAATTTCCATTGCATTTCTGAGAGTCTGGTTCTGCTCAGGGCTGTTCGCATCTGCAGTCAGCGATTCATGATCATTGGGATTTCTGATTTTTACATTTTTTATTATTATTTTGTATGCCTACAGCACCTGGTCTTCCTAGGTGGTCTCTCATCCAAATACTAACCAGGCCCGACCCTGCTTAGCTTCTGAGATCAGACATCGGGCTTGTTCAGGGTGGCATGGCTGTAGACCATGGACTATGGCTCCACTGGGGTGCGAACCCAGGACCTTCTGCGTGTAAAGCAGGCAGGCGTGCTAACTCATACACTATGGAACCGTGTCCTGATTTAAAAAAATTTTAAATGACGCTTAAACCCCCTTCTCGTAGTTTATTAGAGGCACCTACTTTTACTGTGTTTAGTTGGTGCTTTTAGCAGCCCAGGAACAACATCTAGCACAGTTGTCAGAGCTGCTTTAGCATCTGGCACTCCCCCTGCCGCCTTGTACTTCAATAGCAAGCTTTGTTAGTATCGCGTGTAGAATAAGAACCAAGGAAGCACTGAGTGGAAATCTAAAGAGTTGTCTAGGTGTAAATTATCGAGTTTGGGAGATGAAGGAGTTTTTGGACACTTGTGGATTTTTAGCTTATCACACTGGATGAACGTTGTGCGATGCCTTTCTAGAAGGTCGACACAATTTTAGACTTCTTGATGGACAGGCAAGTTTTTCATCCTAGAAAGTGATCCTTGCGAAGGGGAAAGGGTTTTAGATGGGAGTCCAGGGACCTGATTGGACTTCGACTCTGCCACTTCTACTTATTTAGTCTTGAGCCAATTACGTGGCCTCTCTGCACCTTAGTCACTAAGTCTGCAGATTAACTGAACTTGAATAAGCAGTTTCTAAGGTTTTTCCAGTGCTTCAGAGATTCTGAAGTACATGGCACTGTCTCCAGGACGGTCAGCCTGTCCCCAGAACTGGGTTTAGTTCTTTATTTAAAGGCTCCCTGCGACCAGAGTAGCTAAGGGGTTGGCCTCTGGTGTTTGGCACACTTACTTTGGAATGCCTGCTCTACCACATAAAGGAGGTGATATTAAGGAGGTCATTGAATTTTTCAAGTCTCAGTTTCCTTATCTGTAAAACGAAGATGAAAATTTTATCTATCTGATAGAGTTGTTTTGAAGTTTAATAAGATAACTCATTAGAGAACTTTGTTCCGGGACTAGCCCATAGACAGCAAATCAGTCTATTACTCTTTTCGTGAATAGTCAACTCCTCGAGATTAGGCATTCTGCCTTATTTATCTCAGCCTAGCTCATTTACATTTTTATTTCAATAGCTGAGTTTTGTGTTTTATATAGAGTAGTGTTCAATGAATGTACTGTTAAAGTATAATTTCAAAAAAAATTTAGAAAACATGGCTCATACAAACATAGAATGAATACATGTCAAAAAATTTATTTAGTTCTTTAATGAAGGAACTAACAAAATGATAAAGCTGATTTACTGGAGACGTAGAGGAAAAGCATTATGTAGCTTATACCAAAATAATTTTTCTAAATTTGAGACAAAATTTGTTTATGTCCTCTGGGGGAATAAAACTATAACATTTAAAGTAATCTTCTCTTCTTGATATTTGCATCTTTATAGGACAGAAATCTTCATGTTACCCGATAGTTATAAAGTTCTTAGATAGGCCTGTGAAACACTACTCTAGTATGACATTGTGAGGATGTGCATGTTTGCTTTTGCTTTTTTAAAGTTTTGGGTAATTTTTTAAATGGTTATAATAAGACTAAACCCAAAGTATTATTTATCTTAGACAGAAAAATGATTAAACTGGAGTATGATTCTAGCATATAAGTATCTATTTTCTGTCTACACTTATAATAAGTGCTAGGTTCATTCCTAATTATGTTTTCCTAATGTTCCATCAAGGGGGATATAGGGATATTTAGGAGAACACTACTAATTTCTAAGATAATACTGTGAAGGTTTCCTACCTACCTGGTGCTTACGTGGGCCATGAAGCCTGCTAAGGGCTTTCTGTATATTTTAGTTCACTGTATAAACAATCTTGTGAGGTAGGTATTATTATCTCCATTTTGAAAATCAAGTAAACGACTCTTGGCGAGGTTAAATAATTTAATCAAGATGACAGAGCCAATAGGAGCCAGAATTGAAATGCAGTCTGATTCTGAGTCCTATATTCCTTCCAGGGTCCTACGTGACACACCTCCCTCAATTTTAAACTCTCCTCAATTTTAAAGTAGATCTCCAGTCTGCGCTTTTAAAAATACATATGAATGGGTCTAGTTTTGCTTTTTTGATGGAACATGTAGAAAATGGTCCTTTTCCCCATAAGAGACTTGCCGTTTTGAAACTTCCTGAGGCAAGTGGTCTTTCTGCTCCCTGGCCAGTGGATTGCAGCATATGTATATGTTTTAAAGAAAAAAGAAACCATTCCATTTTGCTCTTTAAAGCCACCTCTTCTCAGACTGTCTTCTTTGTAGCTTATCTGTCTTTCTTATCTCTCTTCTGGCCCCCGATGTGTCTGTAGGTGGGCTGGATCCTTTCTGTCTTGGACGAACTGCAGCTGAGTCCTCAGCCTCCCGTCGGAGTCCTTCCTCTGGGGACTGGCAACGACCTGGCTCGAACTCTCAACTGGGGAGGGGTAAGAACTGCTCTCTGGGGGGATGCCCTACGCCTCATCCAGCAACAGGGTTCCCAAATCCACAGATGTTCTAATGGAAGGGGAACATGCAAGGAGTGAGTTAGACCTGAGAATCGATGTGCTGTGAATCGATGTGCCGATGAGCCGTGATTTTTTTCAGTAACTTTTTCAGTTTAAATTTATCAGCAAGAGAAGAGACCATGTGGAATAAGAATCATATATGCGGGTTAGTACACAGGCTGGGGCGTTTCGAGATAATCACTAAAAGACAGTCGGTGGCTTGTCCTCAAGTCTTCACGTAAAACAATCACACAGACGTGAGTTGGTCCTGACCTCTCGGCTCTGCCAGAATAGCAAGTCGAGTTCAGGTTTACAACCCATACTTTGGGAAACTTCCCGCTTTTTCTGAACATTTGGTTTCTGTGGTCAGTGTCATTATGGCTTTGGCTATCCAGGTAACGACCACCTGTCCTTTCCACCAGGGAGCCACTTTCAGGCAAGCGTAGTAGAGGCAGTTTACCTGTCACCAACCAGCCATTTTATTATTATTATTATTATTTTTTATAGTACTAAGATAGGAAGACGACACGGTATCCTAACATATGGAATCCTACCAGCTTTTTATCTTCTCATATGAGACCGTCGCCTGGGCGGGGCTCCATGAAAATTCTCTTCAGATATTAGCAGATATGAATATGGCCTTGGGTGAATGAATTAACCTCCCACAGGTCTTTTTTATATAAATAATAAATATATTTACATGAAGCATTTGTTATTAATGTTAACTCCTCTCATCCAAATCAATGTCTCGACCATCCTTAATAAACATGCTGTCAGTATTGAGTGCTTGAGGGGTCAGTAGCTCCTTAACAGAGCTATTCTTCAGTCATTCTTGCCCTAGGTCATGGAAGGAATGACATCCTGCTACAAGGTTAGGGAGAGGTGACTGAAATGGAATATTAATAAAAGAAAGTGTCTATCAGATGCCACCCCAATTTTTTTCCCTCTTGCCTGTACACACCTGTTCTGTGTATCTCCCAAATTCCTCTAGTAGGAAGCTAGAGGGAAAGGGTCCTGTTTTTACTCTGATAAAAGTGGTCATCCAGCCTGGCCCCCAATCCCTAGCAACTACTGGTTCTCAGTGTCAAAAATAATAATAGTAATTCCTCACTCAACCCAGCTAGGGTTAGTATTTCTGTGCACATTATCTATGACTGTTGTCTTAAGATCTAAATACCTCGAGGAAAACCATTTACTCTCCCAGCCTTGTTAATTGCAAAATAAATAGAGAGCTCTAGAGAGCTCCTCCTTGCATGAAATATCTTTGTCTGTGCTGTTCATGACTCAAGACAGCAATGGGTATGTACTTTGATTTCTTAGGGCTACACTGATGAACCTGTTTCTAAGATCCTTTGCCAAGTAGAAGATGGGACTATTGTACAGCTAGATCGCTGGAACCTCCATGTGGAAAGAAACCCTGACTTGCCTCCCGAAGAACTCGAAGAAGGCGTGTGTAAGGTTAGAGATCTCTTTCTCCAGCAGAAGGGAACCCTGGAGCATCTGCCTGAGCCACAGGAAATACATTTCTGGCTGGAGAGTCAACTACTGATTCCTTCCTTTGAGATAACAGGATAGTGTTTGAGTTTATGGCTACTGGGCTATGAGTTTAACACTACTTAATGATTCATAGACTTCTAAAGACCTAGATTCCCTACTTGAGTCCAGAGCTCAGGGCTCTGTTCCCTGTTGTTAATGTCCACACCGGAAAGACATGTATCCATTTTCTAATCTTTCAAGTTCATTGCAAACTCTTAACCTGTGAGAAGATGAAAAATATATATGTTCTGAAGCATTAGGGATATGGTCTTTCAATAGAAAAGTAACCTCCTGAGATTTCTGGTCTAATATCAAATATCCCTTATGTTTAGGAAGTATTAACTAAGCCAATTTCATCACTTGCTTGAGACTCGAAGATGCCTAAATAAATGTTTTGCCTTAGTGTTTCCCTTCAGTGATTGAGCTTTGATTTCAACCCAAGACAAACCAAGGGACACAGTTGTCAATATGCTAGTATAGGGCTTCAGGGGAACATTTGTTTCTAAGTTTTGGTCTCAATTTCAGATAAATTTGATAGATTGCCAAGTAGTCACTCTCTCCATATTACTTTCCGTTTTTTCTTCCATGATGGTTTTTTCAAACATTTGTTTGCATAAGAATCTCCAGGTGTGTTTGTGAAAAATGCAGATTACGAGGCCTAGTCCCCAGAGATTTTGATTAAGTAAAGGCCCAGTTAAGGTCTGGGCATCTGTACTTTAAAGAGCACTCCTGCTGTATTTCATTATATCACTGACTGAGGCCAAGATTTCGTGGTTGCTTTGGCCTTAAAATAGATTGAACCATATATCATTTTAGATCAAGCCAACACCCATTTATTCATGAACACTTATTTATTAAACATATTTCATCTTCATAGTTTTTTTCACCTAAACCATGATCCAGAAATTAGAAGGTTTCTAGCAGATATCATGATTGCTCAGTTGATCTCGAGTTCATAATGTCACAATGTTATTTAAACAGTATGTATCATTTTGGGAAATGATGCTTCTTTCTAATATATTGGACTTAACAGAAATTGGATAGAAGACAGTCGAAGTAAAAAGAAATGTACCATCTGGAAATTTTAAGGTCCTTTCTCCATTAAACTTAAAATGGGTAGGCTGTCAATAGAAATCTATATTTAAATTATTTCCCAACAGCTTAAGAAATGGAAAGGCTTCTTGGTGCAGCCAGGGAACATTAATCCAAATACTTAAAGGGCTTTGAAAATGGATTTTTGAAGAGATGTGTAGGAAAGTGGGACAATTTTTCTTGGAAAATATGAATAAAAACTTAATAACAGACTAAATTGGGATAGTATGTATGGGATGGTGACCAGATGTTCTCCCAAGTTATTGGTAGATGCTAAGACATGGGTTAGAATTGTAGCCAAAAGAACATAAATGGTAGAGATGAACATATCTGTGCTCTTGGCAGGATTGCCAACCCTTGCTGTCATTACTAAGGACTGGCATTTTCTTTAAGTGCAGGAACTGGACATTCTCAAATACGGAGCCAGGAAAATAAGACATGATTTTGGCCTTGTTCTATGTGTTTAGTTTCTCTCCTTGTTCTCCAGTTCTTCTAAGGGCTGATTTGACCTCTGAATCATTGTAAGCCCTGACTCATGGCCTTCTATGGGAGGTAGGGGGTAGGGTGGTGGAGGGGCGTCCATTCTTTATTTCCATTGGAGACCAAGGCAATCTATTTTTCTTTCTTTCTATATTAATATCTTTTTCTTTCACTCTCCCTCTCATTTCATTTTTTTTTCTTATAATGGAACTAAGTTCTCACTCTCATCAAACAGAAAATCTTACCGATCAATTTTTCTTTCTTTCTATATTAATATCTCTTTTTCTTTCACTCTCCCTCTTATTTCATTTTTTTTTTTCTTATAATGGAACTAAGTTCTCACTCTCATCAAACAGAAAATCTTACCGATCAAGGGACATGAAGCACTGTAATAAACTTACTTTTGGGATCTTGAGAGTTAAACACCTATTTCTAACAGAAGAGAAGTACATTTCTATCTGGAAGATGAACCTTATCATTATTTGGAAACATTACCCAAGCTGAGATAAAATTGCTTCTCTGTTTACTTTAATGTTTATCTTCCACTCCGAGCTGCCAAAGGAAAAGTGTAAGGAATCACCATTTCCCTGCTAGCATTTTCCACGTGCTTTTCTAATTGTCCTACCAGCGAAAGGAGGCCTTAAAATTTCATTAATTTAGCAGTTTTTATGCACGATTTCAGGTTGCACAGGTATCTCTCTTACTCACCTTGCATCCCAACAGCCAGGGCCACAGAGGACTCTAGGAAGGGATGCTAAGGCTTGTGTGTGCATCTGTAGATCTGTGTTTGCATAGTTCAGAGTCATATTAAAAATACAAGTTTTGAAGAAGATGAGGGGAGTCAAATACATGGCGATTGAAGGAGACAAGACTTTGGCTAATGAGCACACGACGAAATGTGCATATGTTGTATTATAAAATTGTGTGTCTGAAATTTATATAATGTTATTGACCAGTGTTATCCCAAGGAATATAATATAAAAAGATACAAAGTTTGATAGATTAATAGGAATCCGAATAATGCTGATAAATATATATGTACATATATATTTTTCTTCTAGATTGAGACGAGCTGAACGTCTCCTACTGCCTTATTGCTTATATGACTTCTGTCAAAAAATTTTTTAAAACTATAAGTGAGAGATAAACAGATGAAATATTATTCATTTTAAATTGCAATGTTAAAATGCTGAACATAAATTCTAGAAAAAAAAGTGTGTCTACTGATTAAGTAGGTTAGACATGATCCTTACAATTGAATTCACTTTCTAAGTTTGGATAGTGAATCATTCTTTGTACCTATTGCAAACATGCATCTTTCTGCGTAATAAGGTTCTCTTATGACAACGTCCACAAGAATGGCTCTCCTTTAATAATTTGTATTTATATCCCTTGTTTCCTATACTATTTATAATCTTGAGAATATTATTTGATTTGAGCTTTCACTAATGAATTAATTCAGACATCCCTATTCCTTCCCCGCAAATGCCCTCTACCTTGAGTTGTGACTGCTCTGTCCCAGGGGGTGGCCCCAGAGACGGATGTCTGGCTTTTGGCTTTATTTTTCTCTTTCTGTCTGGTTACACACAACCTTACCTCTACCTTTGTTCATTGTTGCAGCTTCCTCTGAATGTTTTCAATAATTACTTCAGCCTTGGATTCGATGCCCACGTCACGCTGGAGTTTCATGAATCCAGAGGTGAGGACAGCGTCCCATTTCCATCTCCCGGGGAGGAAGTTGCCAGCAGGTGTTTTGCATGTTCCCTTTTGTTTGCGTATCACTTAAGTGTTGACAGCTCGCTTCAGTTTTGTTTCATTGTGACCTCCATGATGACTCTGGGAGCTAAGCGGTGTAGGAGCTTATTACGAATGGGACCCTGAGTCCTCGTTGTTAGGGTCTCGAAGATGATAAGGACAGGACCACATGTGTGCTCCGGGTCTCAGGACTGCTCGTCTTTAAATTTGACTAGAAACTTTGAAGTTAGCAAACTGCTAAGAGTAATAAAGTTTCTTTCACTAAAGTCACGAGGATACTTAGAGCCTCTCAAGCCATTGATTATTATAGCCTAACATATCATAACCAGAGCCATTGAAACCTGGTAACAAAACATCAAAGTTCTTCCTGTGTGTGTAAAAGAAACGACAGGCATCTTAGAACAATAGGAGTGGGGGCTAGAGGTGGTTTGGGTTGAAAGAAAAGGGTGTGATGGTGATTGGATTACTTGTGGAAGGTGCTAGAAATCCCCATTGGACAAGATAGAGGTATGAATGGGATCGAATGGTAATTTCCAATACTAACACAGATGGAGTCAGGATTGGGGGAGCAAAACAATTTTTAAAGAGAAATAAGATGAAATAATGACATGGTTAAATATTTAATCAAAACTTTATGCCATTCAGAAATGAGAAAGTTTAAGATCTTGGTTTATGCTTTGAAGCCTCTCTCTCTCTCTCTTTTTCTCTCTCAAACTCTCTTCTTATCTAATTATACTATACATCTCTATCTATGCCTATATCCATAACTATATCTGTACCTAGTCCCTTGCAAATATGTTAATATATAATCAAAATAATGTTAGGCTGTAGGTTAGTAATATGGGAGATAATTCATAAATGAGAGATTATTTTCCTCCAGATTCTGTAAGAACATAAGTGGTTTTAACTCACAGAATGTGAAAAATAGAGTAGTGAAAGCTAGAATTTAAATGTTCAGATTCTAAGAGAAAATTCTGGTAATACTCTTATGCACAAAAAGTCAAGAGTAGAGCTATAAGATTAAGGCTGTTAGAATACAGACTATAAGTGAAATCCAAACCTGTAATTTTCTTACAGAATTCAGCCATTTTGGTAGACTTTTCTGGTTTTATGAGGCTTTGAGGGTCAAATGCTGTGCCAAATCAAAGCCATACTGATTGGAGAGAGAGCCATAGTTTGCCCTTTTCCCACAAGAAAATTCTTGTGGGAAAGTGATTTTTTTCCCCTTATTTTTAAGCTATGGGACTATTTCACTTCACTGAGGAATATGCCAATTGTGGTGTATATGTTTATACATAGTATTATACGTTTGTATGATTATAAAACAATTAATTAAAAGATACCAAGCACTAATCTCGGAATAATTTATTGCTGAGGCTTAGTGTAAGCGCTTTCATGCAATATGGAATGGAATTGCAAACATTTGCCCTGCAGGTAAGCCAGAGACTTTGAGGAAAAGCAGCCACCGAAGAGCTGATAAGGGAGAATTAATGTCACTTAAGATTAATAGCTATAATATTCATAAAAATGATATAGAGATGGTACAAAATAAATATTCACAGAATATTAGAACCAGATTTGATTGATATGCCTAGACCAGAGGTGTGAAGTTCTTAGTACCTGTTAACTATCCTTTTTGTAGTAAATAAAATCATTATTTATGATGAAAAGTTTACTTACTCGAGCTATTAATCTTTTTTTAAAAACTGTTTTCTGTTTATTTGGATTTCCTCATATTTTTACCTGGATAGTCAAGAAATCTCTAGCTTGGCTGCAGAAGGAAAAGAAAGATGGCATGGCCACATTTTCAATAGGACAATTCATTTATTTTTGCTGGTAATGAGTGTCTGTTCTCAAGCCAGGAAAACTCATAGTTGAGACTTCAAACTGTTCTCCAACACAGCAACTCACAGTTTGAGACTTCATGATAAAACTTGTATTGTTTGTATAAAATACTTGGAGTGTGACTCAAAGCCTCATGAGAGCCATTATAAAAAGAAAGAAAGAAAAAAAGAGCTTAGATAGAATAACCTATTAGGGATCAGTCAAAAAACCTGTAGTACTTTAAATTGATAATTATGCCAACCAGTCTATACAAAATGGGAAATAGACACATCTCACTAAGGCAGAATTTAAAAAATTTTAAATGCAAAAACAATTTTTAGCATAGATGTGAAATAGCTCATCAAGTTGACATGCAACAAATACAGATTTTAGCTTTGCTACTTATATTGTATTTCTTTTAGAAGGGACAAATAAAGTGATACTTACGTTGAGACAGTTTATTAGTGGTATTCCTGTGTAAATGCTTTTAGAATCACCAGTAGAAAATCAAGCGAAGAGTAGATGTAGTCTTAACATTTTGATTGACTTTGTATATAAAGAATGCAAAGATTTGAATAATTTGGGTTTCTATGTTTGATCAAAAAGAAGGTACACTTCATTTGATTGGAAAACAGAGGTGCTTTCTTATTCTTCTCAAAAGTGGCTACACCATGCATGGTTGAACTATTGTTTTTTGTGTATGAGAAAGTACAATGGTTTGAACAGAATTTAGAGATGTAAGAGGATTGGTCATTTAATTATCAGTTGGAGTCTTGCCCAGTACTTTAATCATTATTGCATTATGACAAGTGCTTGCAGACGTACATTGAAAATATTTTAATCTATCAATGTATAGTGATGTTAACAATGATTATGATCATCACGTGGCAAAGTTAGGTCTCACTCTGCCAACTATATTAATTAGATTGCCATTTTTTTCTGGACATGAAGGACTTTAAACACATCAAACTTTTAGTCTGAGATTGGATGCTTAAATTTTTCTGCATCGTTGAAAATTATTATTCAGAGGAGTCAAACCTTATGTTACAAGGTCAAGGAAATACAATTATGACTAGAGGTGGCAGTATTTAAATTTGATTTAGGAATCACTATTTTCCCTGACTATAGAGATACATGCAGATCTGCACTTTTCAAAGGGTTATGAATGTTTCATGATTCATGTAGAGAACTGACAGATTTCTTTAAAAGGTGTTGTTTGCAATGGCTTGCTAAATTTCATTGTTACCATCACTGCATAGGATTCACTGCTGGGCTCTTGGCTAGGCATGAAGGTTCAGGCATGGTTTACCCTTGAAAAACTCTCACTGTCTGAGATTCTTTGTCCATATCCTTTTCCACCTGGAACCTCTGCATGGTACTGACTCATCATTCAAGATCAAGTATACTTGCCTCTGGGCCCTTTTTCTGGTTATTCCCTTTATGTGTGACCCTCCCCACTTCTCGTACAGACATCTTTTTATAACACGTACAAAATGACATTTCAGACCTGTCTCCCCCACTCAAACTCCATGAGAGCAAACAACCCTGTCCTATTTTTTTTTTTTTTTAATTTTCCTGTGCCAAGTCCAGTGACTGTCTCAAAAAGTGTTTGTTTCAGTAATGGAATATTTCATTGAGGGACAGGCTCCATATGTAAAAGATAAATAACACCAGAAGGATATATATAGCAAAGGCAAGATTAGTCGTATAGACAGTAGATAACATGGGAGTTTGGCAGGACAGTTGGCAGGGGAAAGGTATAAAGGGAAAATTTCCAGGAAGGGTAGATAAAGGGAGATAAAGGAGGAGTGTGATTTAGACAAGAAGTAAAGTATGTGAGGGTTTTTCAGACAGGAAAGAAAAGTGCAGAGGGACAAGGAACTTGAGATAAAGATGAGTTGGCTGACCAGTTATTGCATAATGAAAGATTTTGGTGATGGTGTTAGAAAATTGAAAATAATGTTGGTAAAAATGTCTTTAATGGGAGATAATGTTAGAAGAAAAATTTTTAATATTGATTTAAATTGCAAATGGCAATGTTACTGCAGTCATAAATTTTAGTCATTTATATATATACATAATGAAGTCTTAAGATTGCATAAGTATGCAATACTGAAAATATGGAAGATGTGTGAGTTATATAGGGTTCAAATTGCACGTTGACTTTTATAAACATATTGTTGAACTTATGTTTATAAATATCTTCCTAATATGAAGGACCAGTTACAGATACAAGTAGGGTTTAGGGTCTCATCCTGATGGTACATATGTTGTATAAGGATGGGATTAATATATTATATCAATGGAATGGATTATACCCAGAGCCTCATCATCATTATAAATGAATTACATCCAGAGCCAAATCATTTAGATGATTTAGATGATGAGATTTGGGATGTTGGAGCTGATGGGATTTAGATGAGATTTTTTAAAGTTTTGAGTTGATGCCATGATGGGATGAGACCTTTGGAGACCTTGCAGGGAGTGAATGTATTTTACAAATGTGAAGGATGTGAATCATCAGAGGGTGGATGATGGTTGGTAGAATTTTGGTGTCCATGACTTTGCCATTTGATGTCATGCTTGTTGGTTATGTTATTTTACATGGCAAAAATAACCTTGTTGATGTTATCAAGGTTAATAATTAGCTGACCTTAAGATAGAAAGATAATTCTGAATGATCAGAGTAGGCTCAATGTAATAACATGAGCCCTTAAAGGCAGAAGTAGAAGGTAGAACAGGAAGTTAGAAAGATGTGGCAGAAAGGGAAGTCAGATAGATCAAAAGTATGAGAAGGATTTGATGTGCCATTGCTAACCTTGATGTTGAAGGGAGGATTGCAAGCCAAGGAATGCAGGAGGCCTCTAGAAGTTGAGAATGGACCCCAGCCCAACAGCCAGTAAGGAAAAAGAACCTCATTCCTAAAACTGCAAGGAAATAGATTTTGTCAATAACCTCGGTAAGCTTGGAAGTGAATCCTTCCCAGAGCCTCTCAGTAAGAGCTATGCAGGCGGACACCTTGATTTTAGGCTGACCTAGTAAGATCCGAGACTGAGGACCCAGAGAGACCAGTCCAGACTTTTAGCCTAGAGAACTGTAATATCAATGAATATTTTAGGTTGCCAAGTTTGCAGAAACAGAAAACTAATACAGTTAACGTTGGTGTGCAGTCCGATCACGAGTAGGTTAATGGCACAGACTTGCACAGTGAGCATTTGGATCTCACTATCTTACACGATCTTCTTGTGGAAGAGGAAGATGCACAGTCTAGTAACTGCAGCAAGAAGCCATAAGTACTTCCAGTATTGGAGTCTTGGGGTACTTTGAGTATTATTGGCCCTTCTTGAAAGTGACCTTTCATGGTTTAGTTCAAAGCAATTAACAGACACAACTTTCTTAAGGAATAAGAGCCCTTAAGCTTTCTTACTGGCCCTTTCCCAATTCTGTGTGCTCCCTTTTCTTGATATAGCTGGGGTCCACAACCCTTGGTCCTCCTCCAGGTCACAGTAACTCTTATACATGCACATAGACATATTCGGCCACTCAGCCCTTTCTTTCTAATAGCCAATGAGGAATAGTTGAGTACCATTATTTGTAGGCTCTTCCTTGCTCTCTTATGGCCTGGCTTCTGCAGGGAGTGGCACAGCAGATGTCTCCCTTAGCTCCAGCCAACTTTGTTTCCAAGTCTGATTTGTGTTTGGAATCGAGTAGATATAAAAATGGGGAAGGAGTCCAATTGCCATCATAGACTCAATCTGGGAGTCAATAATATATACAGGTGTTAGAAGAGAGAATGGTAGAATTTACCCCATACCTTTCCTGCTCTCAAGGCCAAAGCATATGTGTGACCCCACTACCTCTTTGTTTTTTTATTTTCTGACACCTCTCTGAATGATAGTGTCTTGATAGATCTCCGTTTTCTTCGGGTTGCTTACTGAATCAACTTTTATTCAGTTAAATTGCATCTGAGGTGACTGTTTTCATCAACTGTGTGAGTGAAATCACCAAAAGCCCAGTGTATTTTGTAATGCTAGTCTTTTTGGGTTTTATAGAACATTTTCTGAGAGAAAAAAACCTATTTCTTCAAAGGGGAAAAAAAGGCCTTTTCAATGCTTCAAGACTCATAGGAAAACCTCATGAAGATTTGAGTATTTTACAAACCACACGTTATTTAAAAAAAAAAAGTAAATGTTAATAGTTGGTATATGATTCACTTAATAGCTGTGGACACAGGTGCCCTGAAGAAGTGCTGTGCCAGAACTGTAGGTGTTATTTCCATTTCTCATTGTAATTTGCTTAAAAGCTGGATCTGATTTTTTTTTTTTAAATTAGGGCCCATGTATCTATGATCAATTGCATAGCAACAAAGATTAACAACAAAGATTCTCATTTGGCCTCTGGTTTTGTAAATCATGAAAGAGTTAATACAACTGAAAAGGGAACCAACCCAGGCTAATTTAGGTCAAAAAAGGTTAAAAACAACATGTCATTCAGCAGCCAAAGTTATCATGAAGAAGGGCCAGACCATAAAAATGGTCATCTCTGGGGCCAAGAATGGAGTTCAGGGAGGTAGAACACTTAGTACGGTTTCTTTCTTCTTGGTGTTTACTGTATCTTGTAGATTAATGTTTCACTCTTTGTTTTATTTTGGTGCTAGGGTTACAGTATTTACTTGGTAGAAGAGTGAGTAAATGGTTAAGGAGAGGTTTGAAAGATAGGAACTATAAAATAGATGAAAATAACTGTCAAAAACCAATCTGTAAAAATGCTACCCTTTTTTGAAGTTTGCAAACCTTAACCCAAAATCTACATCTTATGCTAATATTGTGTTCTAAACATCATGAAAATAATCTAATAATCAATTGTCCAGTGTTATTTCCTGAAATCTTGTAGCTTTTTTTCTCTCCAGCTTTAGTGGGTGAAATTTTTGCTACTTTTCTTCATGTAGACAACTTTTGGGATTTATAGTTCAAAAATAAGGTTAGGACTTACAGAGTTTCAGCTTGTCAGCCAGCTGTATAATGAGAAGTGACTTGGATAAAGATGTAGCCCTAAGCAGGGAGCATATTTATGAGCATATTGAATAAAATGGCAGAAAGCAGAAACATTGGCAGTGGGTTCCTTTGGAATGTCTTAGAATTTTATTAGAAAGAATGTCGGGAAATAATATTTCATTTAGAGATTTTATAAATCCCTTGAATGCATGTGAAAAAACTCTGATGCAGATTCTCACTTAATCTTTTTGTGGTCCTCAACTTATTAAACATATGGGAACAAACTCAAACCATTTTTTTCAGCTAGAACCTTTGCTGTCACATGTTCTAAGTACATTCAGCAGGTGATCTGCATATATATGCATATATCTCTACTAAATCAAATAATTTTTCAAGACCTGTCACAAATAAGAGTGTAAATGGTAGTTAGGCATTTCTGCAAACTGTGAAAGCAAATTCTCAGTTAATTTTTATCCAAATTCTCCATATTTAATCGCATTTAGAGGCTGCGCACATAGTATATGGAAGCCAGGACCTATGGAGATCAAAGCAAATCATCACCCTTCCACCTCCACCCTCTTCCCCTATCAGCCGGGCCCTGTATCCCTGCCAACCCTTTGTTCTGAGTAGAGTCCAGAGTGCTTCACCCTTTACCATTCATGGCAATAATCGAGAGAGCTTGCCTACCCCACACCCCAGATATTCTAATTCCGTAGATCTGGAATGGGCCCTAATAATTTGCATTTTTAACAGTCTCTCATTTGCTGCTGATGCTGCCAGTTGGGGGCTACATTTTGTAGCTCTGGACAACAGTGACAACTGCCTGTAACTAAGGGGAAGATGATAATGAAGCTTTTGGGTCTGGGGGAGGGGGCAGGAAATAGGGGTCATCTAAGTCACTACCTTTAACCAGATCTCTATAACAAAACTACTTTTTCCCTTTCACAGAAGCAAATCCAGAGAAATTCAACAGTCGTTTTCGAAATAAAATGTTCTATGCAGGGGTAAGTACATATTTTATTTCATAATTACTACACATTAATTAATATACATTCACTATTGGTAATAAAGTTGATAGCTATATTAAAAATAATTACATGCACATTTCACATGTTTACTTGCAGGGTCTATGTATGGTTAAGTTCAAAGTCTTGGTTTAAGAATAAAAGTAATGTCTTATGTTAAGATGCATGTCTTATGTTAGTTGGCAGAAGAGACATAGTTTCCATTATCTTTGAACTTAAAAACCTGAGGCATCATGTCGTACTGAAGGAATGATACTCAAGGAGCGATGTGAAAAACAGACATCAGAGCCAACCTAGAGAAAGGAGAAATTAGGTAGACTGAAAAACATATGGAAAATCTTGGGTAAGAATGTAGTTTTCACAGGGGTACACATGTACTAGTGTTTGGATGAGAACCTGGCAGAGCATGGGGGGTTTTTCATGGAAGCTCATATGAGGTTAAAGATGAAAGGGGGCCCCTTCTTTTCCTTTCTCTTCTTGCTCAAGGACACCCAGAAAGAAAAAGATGGCCAGAAAGAAGGAAAAAAGATCTCCAAAATATTGATATTTTCAAAAAGTGTTGTTTAAATTTATACCACTGGAAAAAAATTGTACCGCTGGATAGAGGGAGTTGAAAGAAAAGAGGGGGCGAGTAAAAGATTGTCTCAGCCTCTGATGGACAACTAGGAAGGTCAAGGAAGGTGGTCAGAATAAATCTTCAAACTGATCCTTGGAACGTCTACTTTTTTACTTTCCTCCCGTGATCTTAAATTTTATTATTGGTTATAGTTTGAGGACAAAAAGATTTCAACTTGACGGCCACTGCACCCCTTTGCATTCAGCAAAAGGAGAACTTGTTTTATATTTTTGCGTCATTTAGAATCATTAGGAATTATCCATAATATAGACACAAAGCTTTGGCATAACCGTGTAATTAAGAATTTTTTTTTTATTTCCTTGCGATATAGGCAGCTTTTTCTGATTTCCTGCAGAGAAGCTCTAGAGATCTATCCAAACATGTTAAAGTTGTTGTAAGTATTGAATGTGTCGACTCATTTCATTTGACTATGAGTATATATGTCAACAAAAAAATGAACCCCAAATACCAGTTTCTATACCTAGATTAATCAAGAGACTTCATAGAACTTTACAGATCATTTAGTGTCATTCATTCAATCAACATTTTTGAGCATTTAAATGCATGTCGGGCACTCTCTTAGTTGCTGGGGATGAAGATATAAATAAGGTGACTAGTTTCACTCCTGCATAAACCCACAGTTCAGTCATGGAGAAGGGCACGTGAATCACTGAAGAACAATATAATATATATTGTCATTCAACTATGTATATAATATGGTGGTGGCACAAAGGGAGAAACGAAAACTGACCGTGGGGGATCAGGGAAGGCTTCATCGAAGAGACGACGTTGAACTGGGCCTTGTGATAGAATTGGATGCTCACCGGACAGATCTCTCTATCTTAGGCTGTCTGAGAGCTCTGCATTTTAGGAAAGTACTTTGATTTGATTTCAGTCTTTTGTGGTGCCTCGCTCTGTAACCTGGTCCAGGTTCTTTATCACTGAATAGATTTTCTTTTTTGCTTTCGGTGCTATTTCTTCCTAGGTCTCTATCCCAGGTTGTGGAGCCGCACTGCTTAGAGGCAAGGGAGAGGGGAAGTTATCTCTCCTCTAGGAGCTGTATTTTTAAATGGCATATAATTAGTTATTACGAAAGTCACAGAATGTTTTCTTACAGTGACGAAGTTAAAAGAAGGAATGAGCATGACTTTGTTGTACATAATATATAAGTAAAAGAAAAAAGAAAGACAGAAAGAGAAAAACAGATGGAGAAGAAAGAATGGGGGACATAGCAAGGCATGAATTTGTCATGGCATGGGTAAAGAACAGAATATGTGAGAGGAGGGGAGAAATAAAAGATACGTGAGAATAGAGAAAAATGTGATATTAAGCTAATGGAACACAAAGGAGCATGAAAGGACACACTTTTGGAAATTTTGGAATCATGAATAAAGGTTTATGAGACACGAATCTCCCAAATCAGTTGAAACAAGGGACAGTGGCCTTTACCGCTCGTGTCACAACCCTTGACATCACTGTCAGATGTTTGCGTTCTCATGCAATAGCAATGAATAGTATCTTTTCATAGCGGTGACTCTTGAAAACTGGAATATTGCCTTTTTCAAGCTAAATGCAAAAAAGACACATGGTCCATTGAACTATAAAGATCTTTATTATGATAAAATTAAGGCTATGAAATTTAAGTAGCAGCAACCTTACCTCAAACTTTCCATTTCTTCAGCTGCCTGCAAGCCAGCCAAAATATAAACTTTCCTGTTTCTTCCAGTATTTCTCACATTTAGAGGAACATCAGTAGCACCTGCCTAGGGAACCAATGAGTGGTGGGCAGTGGCCACATTGAATGACATCCACTGTTCAAGTTGGCTGAATTGAAATTAAACTCTGTATACTTCCTAACCACTAGAGAGTTTTTCTTCCACATCTGGCAGTGCTATTGATGATAAATGTCTCATGTACGAATGGCTACATAGCAGAGATCAAAAGAAGCTTGCAGAGGGACCAAGATGGCAGCCAAATAACTAGGAAAGATTTACTATCAGTCGGTAACTATAATATTCCAGGTGGATTGGTTTATGTAATCATATCCTTTTTTATGTTAGAAAAAACATCAGAAACTAAGACATTTGAGATTCAGTCCTAGGTCTACCTTTATGAGGCATATGACTTTGTGGAGATCATTGAACCTTTCAAAAGAGTTTACTTTCTTCATTTAAAGCATACGTAACAAGACAGGTCTTTGAAGTGACAATTATTGGCCATTGCTCTGTGACACAAAGGGGCACCGGGATATTTCTTTGATGACATCACTGTATGTTTTCTTGAGAGTGAGAGAGAAAAGATGGAAGGTTAGCTAGGGCAATTGGGTGTACATATTACAACAGAGCATCCTATCTTTGACACAGGGTGAAGTCAGTGTTTCTGAGGTAATAGATAATCATCTCTCACATAAATGTAAAATACATAATAAACACAACAAAAAAGCAGAGGACAATAACAAATATAAATACAGCATTATTTTCCCTACTTCTGCATTTTCCTGTTGTATTGACTTATCAGTATGTAAGCTCATACACAGAAATATATTTTGCATGTAGATATTTTCCTTTGTGTGTGAAGTAAGGAAAAAATTGAAAACTGCTATTCTGGAGATTTGCCAAGTTTAAATGCAATAATATGTAAAAAAACTTTGTAAAGCACAATACATTGTAAGTTGTCCATCCTCATATAATTTGATGAGTTCCTAGAATCATTGACATGTTCCCTCGGAGGAAAAGTTGAAAAGTTGAAAGTTAAAAAACGATTGTTTTAAATACAATGATATTGATTACAGTTTTTTTCTGTAATGCAGCAATACTGCTTTGCATGCAGTATCACATTCTATTAATGTACCACATTCTATTTTTAAAAAGCTTTTCGCTGCTTACGACATTCAATCTTGATAATTTAAGATGTCTATATTTTTCATTGGTATAGTCATCTATCAACTCATTTCAAGTCCTTAAGTAAATTAGGAGACTTCATGTTTGCTTAGTGTCTGAAAGTCTTGTAAAAACACCTTCAACCGATATCTAGAATATGATTCCTATCTAAATAACATATTAAAATATTTTATTTAGGACTGTAAGATTTCCTGGAAATGACTTTTGAGAATGCTTATGAAACGTATGTGCATTAAGATCATTTGGGAAAGGAAGGAAACACGCTTGACTGCTAGCAGAATCCTTGCTCTGAGATTGAAACTCCTCCTAACGAAATCTTTGAAAATTCTCAGGGAGCTTGGGGATGTTTTACTTCTCTCTCCACAAGCGAAGATGATGGGGAGATTCTCTGATGAGGTTTGAGGAGAGCAAGTATAAAAGCAGGCTTTATGCCTTTGACATTGAGAAGTCTATAGTCGTGACTACTGTTTTCCTTTTTTGACTTTTGTCATCAGTGGTAAATGAGAAAGGGACATGAAAGCCTTTTCTTTGACTTTTCCAAGCCAAAATACCTAGTAATGATTCAAGGTTAAGAACGATGGTAGTTCCCGGGCCTGGTAAAGCTATAATCTGAATCAATTTTCAATCAGAGTAATGGGATTCACTTAAGCAGAGAGAAGTCAAGAGGAAGACCATGGCACATGCTCGTGTCAACCTACTTGCCTTCGATAATTTTTTTAAGACTTGTGACTAGTTCAAAGCTTTTGCTTTTTTCTGCTTTGATTATTTCAGTGTGATGGAACAGATCTCACCCCAAAGATTCAGGAACTGAAGTTCCAGTGTATAGTATTTTTAAATATACCCAGGTAAGCACCGTTCATGTTGTTTCCTTGGTTTGATGTGAACTCTGTTTGACTTGAGGTTATCTGTTTCATTATAGAAGATTTCCAGGTACAAACATTGAAAGTTGGTTATCTTAATAGCTTATTAAGAGTTTCCAGATATGACAATTTTGTGTTCCTTGGTTTGTTTAGTGTTCTCTGTGGTAAATGTGTTTTGTTCTGTTTTGTTTTGTTTTGTTTGCATGATATGGCATGCGTAGTCTATACTTATCCATCCTTAAGAGCCCCAGGCATCTCTCTGGAGTGGAGCATTTTAATTTAATTCTCAAATTACTGATCCTTCCACCCCCCAAGAACGATAGATAGATTTGAATAAATCTCTGTTCTCAGTTTCCCAAAAGCTGTTAGGAAACCTGCCAGCCCGATTTTAGTATGGAATTCATTCAAAATCATTGCCAGATGATTGCTTTGGAAAAATAGGATCAATTAGAGTGGCATTTTCTAGTCAGAATGTCAACTCTCTTTGGTGCTATTATATATACCTCAGGAGAAAGGGGTATTTAAGATGAACTAGTCTCAGAATAAGCACATTATCTCAGTGGCATAAAATTAGATTCTAGGCTCCCAAGCCAGGATTTTGGAAGGGACGGATTTGTGACCCTTTGTTATTTGCAAAGCAGACCACTCAGACACAAAAATCTGCAAATAAGTTCTATTTAGATTGAATTTAATTAAAATGTAAGTCTATGGCTAGGAAACCATCTTAAATATAGTTTTGATTATATTTGACTGCTCAGCTCAGTATAGTTATATACGATCCTGTTCCAAAGTATTTCCTTTTAGTTGTTTAAATAGAAGACCTAGATTCTCAAGAAACAGTATTAATTTTCTTTAATTTTTCTTCCTCTTTTCTTGACATATCCCTTTTTCATCTTGCTTCTCTCCCTTCCCCACTGTGATTCTTATTCCTCTACTTTTCCAATTTCCTTTGCTTCCCCTTCCTTTCTGATCTCATAGCTTTTTTTTGCCATCCCTTCTTCACTCTTCCCTTCTGCCGTGGTTACTTATTATCTTAGATATGTATGTGATAGTGAACGCTTACTCACCTCAGTTCTCTTTCATTTTTTCCACTGGCTGGAATGCATATGTCTGCCTCTAAGACCGAATCCTGAAACCACCTGAAACCATAATTCACGGCGTATCATAGAAAGCAGACACGTATGAATTATAGAGTGATAAATGTTGATAAATAATAAATTGAGAGAGAGTTGGGCACCGCGGAATGCTTTAGTTGTAAAATGGTGGCTCATTGTCACAGACATATTTTGGAGATGATGATGAGTCCATTTTTTGTTGTTGGAAGGTCTGCAATAGAAAACTTACGTGAAATAAACATTGGATCTAACTATAAGTTAATCTCTAATGATAATCACAAGAGTAATGGGATAAATTTAATTCCCTTTTTAATCTTATCTTGCAGATATTGTGCTGGCACAATGCCCTGGGGGAACCCAGGGGATCACCATGATTTTGAACCTCAGCGTCACGATGATGGTTATATTGAAGTCATCGGGTTCACCATGGCCTCTTTGGTGAGCAATACAACCATTTTATTAAAATGAAATGCATTTTAGTCATAGAGCTTTTTCGTTTCGTAGGACTTTGGTATAATTTTCTCTCCTGCCTTATCAATCGTCGATAAACTTCATGCGATATGGAGTTGCTTGGGGAAAACAAGAACAAACAAGAATAATTCTTTATGCCGCTAAGAAAATTGATGCACATTTGTTTGAACTTCAAAAATAAATATTATTTGTTAATTTTCATGGTGAATTTTCAAATGAAATGCAAAGTTTTCATGCTCATTAAAAAGCATTATGCCACAGACATATCCCTGCATGATGCAAAAACCTTGCCATTTGACACTTTTTTGGTTCACTGAGGACTTGAGCATTTAGGTAAAAAGGAAAGTGGTCATTTGCATTCATCTGTATCTTCTCTGCTTAACCATAAGATGGGCATCTCTATTATCACAAAATTATTGAATATAGAAAGAAGTCATTGTGACATTAATGAATATTCAGTTTTCACAGTATTGAGATCACCTTGCATTTTAATTTGTTTGCTTACATTAAAAATGTTAATTTATATAGTGTAAGTATAATTTCAAGCAGGTTTGGCCATGTATTTTAACTTCTTATTGAATGATGAGGAAACCAATTAAAATTATGATTATCATTTTATCTGGTGTAAATCAGAACACACTATCAGTTTATAAAGCAAATTAAAATAAAGCTGCTACCTACAGTCTTTGGTTAGCACTAGATTTGTGCTATACTTATGCTTAAAAGCAAAAAGATTGTGTGTCTTGTTCTAAACAATCCAAAACATCTCTTTTCCACTCATTTCATGGACTCTAAATGACTTTTCCTCAATTGCTTCCAATTACTGAGATTTAATAGAATAATGTAATTGTGACTATGGCAAGAATGTTCCTCACCAGAGATGGTGATGTTGCTCGTTAAATCTGCTATCTCTGGAACGAAACGGTTGCTAACTGTAAAGGACTAGGTTAGGGTTGACCTATTCTCAGAGTTGTGACTCATATACAGCTTTTTCTCTCCAGAAGTTTTTATATTAATTACAGCAGAAGCCTCGGCCAAGAGCAGATAGGAATAAGTTCAAGAAGGATATATGCAAGGAAGAATTCTTGGAGGTGACCAGAATGGCTCCAAACCTGCCCCCGAGTGTTTTACTCATTCATTTCTTCACAGACCCAGTGAACACTCATTGAATGTTTACCACGTGCCAGAGCATCCTACCATCCCAATTGTGTGGTAGAAGGCTATCAGGAAAGAAATATCTAAGCGCACATCTTTGCCTACCTAGGCTTGGGAGGGTCAGGGGACTATTAGACACTTTCTCATTGCTTTCAGGATCAAAATCTAAATCTTTACCTGGCCTGCAGGATTGAGTTCCTCGTTGATTCTCCAGCCTTTCCCACCGCCTCTTTGCTTTCTTCCTCAAATGGTCTGTGACGTCCGATAGAGCTTTGAACCTTCCTTGCTTCTTTTCCACCACATTCTGTCACTTTCTAAAACATTCTTTACCCTTCATTTTCTGTAACTTCAGTCCAGATCTGTTCGTGTCAGGTTCTTTTTGTAGTCTTTTTTGATTCGAGTTGTTTTTGCTTACAATCCTATAATTAGTGTGTGAATAGGAAAGAGAAGGCAGACTAAAAGTGGGTAATTGAAGGAGAGTTTAATGGAGGAACTCTTTACGAATCATGCACTGGGTTTGTGAGAAGCCGTGATGGATGGCGTTATATTCCTGAGCTGTAGGCGCCAAGGCAAGGAAGCAGTCGGTGATGCCAGAAAGAGTGCTGTTTGGCAAGGACCCCTTGATAGGAGTAGTATTTGCTGAGCGGAAGCAGCCAACCTGTGCCAACCTGAAAGGGAGGGAGCTAGGGACGTGAATACAGTGTCTGACTCTTGTCCTTCAGACCTTCTGCTGGCGCTTCCCTCTGGGGAAGTCAAATCAGAAGCTAAAGGTCAAGGGAAGCACTGATGCAGTCTAAACAGGTCAGCCTCACGGAGTAAAGAGGAGGGCCAGGAACGACGGAGTGCCAGCTGGGAGTGGCAGATGGTAGATAGTCATCACTCTAGTGAATCTCTGCTACAGAACAGAGAGCCAAATACCTATAGTTTGCAATGAGTAAATGTGACAGAATAAATGGATTTTTCCAAGAGAAGAAGAATGGGACTTGGCATTCTGGAAAAAGGGAAATTTATATACGCTTGGAAGTATGAGAGATCACGGTCCTCTGTGGGAACTAGAATTAGTTTCATAGTTTAGATGGAGGTGAAAAGTGAGAATGATAGATGATGCTGGGGAAGCAGGCAGGGGCCAGATCATGGAGTTCATTATGGAATTTAACTAGGAGATTTGACTTTATTCCAAGGTCACTGAGGAATTAGTAAAGTGTGTTTTTTAAAATATTTGGTACGGGAAAAATCCAACATGAGAACAGATGAAATATTATATTGAACCCTCATGTACCATCACTTAGCTTCTATAATTATCACCTTATGGACAGTGTTATTTCTGTTCCCACCTATAACTTCCTCCATATATTATTTTGAGTCCCAGAGAGTATATCGTTTTATCTATAAATATTTCTGACTATGTTTTTAGAGGACTTTTATGAACACAGTCACAACATCATCTTATCTAAAAAAAAAATTAAAACAGTAACACCTGAATATCACTAAATATCGACTCAGTGCTCTAATTTCCAATTATCTTGCAAATGTCATTTGTTTTCTTATGCTCTGTTTGTTTGAATCAGGATCCAAATAAAATTCATTTGTCATGATTGGTTGATATGACTCATTAAGTCTCTGTAGGTTCCTACCCATCTCTCTCTCTCTCATTTTTTTTCCATTTATTTGTCGAAGAAACCAAACCTTTTGCCCTGTAAAGTTTCTCTGAGTCTGAATAGTGCTGATAACATCCCTGAGGTATCAATTAACATGTTCTCTCTTTCCTGTTTCCTCTAAGTTGATAGTCAGATCTAGATGAATCAGACACATTTTTTCCCCCACAAATCTATTTTGTAGGTAGCGTTCTCTTCTTCCAAAATAGGATAGGTAATTTCTAGTTATCTCTCTTTTTTTTTTAGTAGTCTTTCGTGATCAATGTCTGGATCTAAGATTCTTTGGAGATTCAAAGTAGCACTATTCTAATTTTATCCTTCTTCATTTATCAACTAGAATATTTCTATAAAGAGAAATTCTCTTCACCTATTATTTGGTAACTTTATATAGTTTATGTTGAAAAGGCAGAATAAGTGATTTCTTTATTTATACGTTGGAAAAAAGAACAAGTTAGCTCACTAGCATCTTCTGATAATTGGGTTTTAAAATGGCCTCAAATTTTGGGGGCACTTCTCTCATCAAGAATTCGAGTCTATGTACCATCCCATTGACTCTGGGAGAGCTAATGAATTCTTGGTGAATTAAGTGCAGTGTAAATAATGCTATGTAACTTCTGAGGCTGGATCATTAAAGGTCACACGGCATATGGGAAATACAGGCAATACCAAGGGTCTCTAATTAATAGGAATTTTATAAATTCACGGTATCACTTGTTATTTACGATGTCGCACTGCTTCATTCATGCATATTTATCGACTATTTGTTGAATCCAAAAATACTTTATCAAATCCATAAATGACAGTCTGCTAGCTGAAACAGTTATGAAATGAACCAAAAGGAAAGCCCTGTTTTGGGGGTGCCTGCACTTCAGTGTTGTGGGGGCGACGAAGAAAGAAACAATCACAATCCGATCTTATACATTCTAGGAGAAAGGCATGAGTGAGGATAGAAAGGACAGCTGAGAGCAAGACAGTGTTTTAAAAAAGGGAGGGGACATCAGCAAAGATTTCACAGAGGAGGCAGGAGTCTCAGAGTGAGATTGCCAGGAGGGATTAGGCTACGGAAGCACGATCTGCTAGAACTACTCATGGCGGCTCTGAGTGATGACGCATATGGCGAATAAAAACGTGGATATGGAGACGGGGCAGAAATAGTGCTTTTTCGGTTTTTAAACTGTAAATGAGTTGGTTGAGGGAGATGGTGTGAAACAGGGTTAGATTTGTGGTTCAGAAAGATGATCTGGATGTCATCGTGAAGGGTGACCAGAATCCTTACTGCTGGGGACAGGTAGATGAACCAACGTGCAGGTAAAGAGACAGGGACAGCTGGAAGCCTGAAGTAAAGAAGAGGTAATGAGGATGAAAAAGACTGACAAATTCAAGAGTTATTTATAGTGACTTATTGCAAAGGAGGAAAAAAAAAATATAAATGAATCCCAGGTGGCTAGTATGGGTCATTAGGTAAGAGAAGAATATATTAAATGAGGTCGAAAATATAAAAGAAAGTATGGCCCAAGAAATGAACTCTGTTTTATGTAAGTTAAATTCGAAACCCCCGTAAGACACCTAAGAAGATACAGAAAGAGACAGTCTGAAATGTATGTTTAGAGCTCGAGAGAGCCCTCAGGTTGGGGGAGAGAATTTGGGGGCCTATCAAATCCTTCTATCTCCAGCCCTATCATTAGTAAGAAAGAGAAAAATAGCAGTACATGGGAGTTGGTGGAGAAAAAATGAAATCCTAAAGTTATGTCAATTATTTTTTTCTTTACGTGATATGAATAATGTAATACATGCATACTAGCTAGTATCAAATGTGTAATTGGATCTCAGATTCTAGTGACTCTAGATTGCTTCTAAGATAATATAGAAATCTACCTAGAAAAAGCAGAGTGATATTGGCATATCATTCTATATTTTCATACAAATCTTACCTTACCACCCATCTACCAGTACGCCATTGTATTTTTTTCATTCAAGATGAAATAATTTTATTTTCAGTCTTGAAATTTCACATTTCTTGAAACTATTACATTGATTCCATTTCTAAGAAAGTAAATTACATGAAAACCCATACAGCTATGTACGATAATTATATAAACAGGAAAATATAGTTATTTGGGCATATGTGTGTATTTTTGTGTGTTTAAAATGTTCAGAGTGGTACTTTAAGAGAGATTTGAGATAGAATAACTGGAATGGGAAAAAAGTAGTTTTTTAAGACTCTATCTTGTAATTGCAAATTTCAAAGCAGAAGTCTCCGTTTTACTGGTTGAGATGTTTCTACTGATTAAGATGATTCTTTGTTGGGTTCTTGGTAACGTGTTTACCTTTTGGATTCCACACAGATTCAATCAGACATTGTAATTTGTATTTATTTCTGCTACAGTTCTCTGCCGTTATGGTTGTGAAGGTCCTTTCATGTTGAGTCTGTTTCAGAATAATCTAAAACTTTTCAAGACAATTCAAAGCCTTATTCAGATTGAGGAATTGGGAGCCTAATTTGCTATGCAGTCAGGAATCCAAAGATTTCAGTCTCCTAAACTTTAAAGAAAGCATAGTCAGCTTTCTTTTTGTTAATTGAAATTGAAATATGTAGGCTCTTTTCTATTTATGGATTAGAAAAGTGAAAGGTTATTCAGTGAGAAAAATTACATGGAGAAATTCCCAGGGTTGAAGATGTACATGTGCCAGATAATACAATCTTTTATTTTTTTAAGAAAAAAGTAACATTAAACGTTTGCTTAGTTTGATAATACACCTAAGTATAAGAACTAAAAGTAAAAATATCAGTCACAAGCACATGATCCATAACTTTATATTTTGATGTGTTTTCTTCCAATTGCTTTATTTTTATGTTTTTAAACATACAGGAAATCATATTATTGTATGTAAAACTCACACTACAATTTTATTCCCTTGACTTACTATGTGATTCAGGACCTCCAACGTTATGTTGAAAACTTTTGTTGCTAGTGACTAATTCTTTCCCTTGAAACGAATGCTTCTAAATTTTCTTTACCCTGAATAACATTTTCTCTATGTGTTTTGGAAGATGACTTTTACAGTTAAAAAAGTTACTTTCCATTTCTAGTTTTCTAACAACTTTTTATCCGAAAAGGTACTGAAATGTATTATCTTTTTCTATATCTTTTGAGATGATGGTAGGGGTTTTCTCTTTTAAACCATAATGTGGTGAAATTACAATGATTTATTTCTGATGTGGAATTCTTAAGTCTTGCAAAAAAAAAAAAAAACAAAAAAACCAACCCATAATAGATCACAGTTTAATTTTTATGTAATAGACCAGGAGAAGCAATTTTTTAAAATGGTTTTAGTGTTTGTGATTATAAATATAATTTAGGGTAAAATTTTATTTTCTTATATGCCCTTATCTGGTTTTGTTACCTCAGAATCCGTAGCATCATGTTATCTGAAGCTAGTTGTGTTAAGTACACTGTCTTTTTTTTTTTTTCTAAGTTGGGTAGAATTACTTGTACAACATCAGGTCTGGCTGGCATGTTTGGGAATGGGGGGCAGGATCAGATATATTTTTGATAACTTTTTCAATTTTTGAAGTCAGTATAATCTATCCAATTTATGTGTTTATTATACCAAATTTTGCAAGTTGTTTTTTTCTAGAAGTTTCTCTTATCTAGGCTTTTCGATTTGTGAACTTCTATAGATCTTCATAACATTCTTGTATGATTTCCAAAATTCTTTATTATATCTTTAGCAATGATCTTTTGTTTATTTAATAAAAAAACAATTTTATGTTTTCTACTTTTGTTGCTTAATCTTCTAAGGTTACCTTGTTAGTCATAAAGAAGAAATCCCAGATATTGGTGTTATTGATTTATGCCCATTGTTAATTCTCCAGGTCACTGATTTCTGCCTTGGGCATTTTGTTACAGGAGTGAGACTGGAAGTCAGGGGCTGGCAGCACTGGCAAGAAAGGAAGGAAGGGAGGGCTTGGCCTTGCTTCTCTTCTCCCCGCCACCCCTGACCCAGGATTGTCGATCCTTCCTATCTGACAGCAAGTGGAATAAGGACTTGAGTAGTAAGAAGGAAGGCGAGGCTTGAAGGGAGATGGAGAGAAGTACTCTAGGAAGGAGTGTAGTGTGGAAAGCCAGAACATCTCAAGCCATTCCTGAGGAGTGAAGGGAAGTCATTATCATCTGAGCGTAATGAATGGCAAAGGATGCCCTGAGCTCAGGGCTATCTTGGTTATCCTCTGTATGCTACCAGAAAGGCAATATTTGAAGATTTCACAAAAGGAAGACGGGCTAAGTTGAACAGGTAATTGGATGCCTGCCATTCATAAACTAATATATTATTATCAGTAAATGATTCATTCTAGCAAATCATGGGGCTTTCAGGACATATGCCTTAATAGGATGTTAAGCTTAGACCAGTCAGAGTGATGGAAAAGAGCTACTTCTATTAAGTGTTTTAACAATTACCTTTAGGATGTGGTTCCATAGTAAAGCAGTTAGCACATCTGCTTTACATGCAGAAGGTCCTAGGTTCACGCCCCAGTGGAGCCACGGTCCATGATCTACGGCCATGTCACCCTGAACAAGCCTGATGTCTGATCTCGGAAGCTAAGCAGGGTCGGGCCTGGTTAGTATTTGGATGAGAGACCACCTAGGAAGACCAGGAGCTATAGGCGTTAAAAAAAAAAAAAAAAGAGAGAGAGAGAAAATAATTACCTTTAACTTGTTCCAAAAATAATTTAACGTGGCTGTGCTAACAATAATAGAATGGTCTGTCCCAGAAAGCTAACTTGGGCAATTCCTCCTGTGCCTGTGCAGTGATCTTAGATTGATTCTGAAATACCTGCGGGATTGCCCATGACAGCTGTTTACTCCCGCAGGTTTGTGGAATTTGCTGGTGTCCTAGAGTGAGGCTGAGAACACGGCTTAAACGTGCTGTGCAGTACTGTGTCTGCCTTCAGATACCAACGGGCTGGAAAGTATTTAAGCTATTTTCACTCCTGTTAAACTCAGAGGAATAAATTCTTACCTAGGAGGTTCTGCATTTTTGTCAAGAGGCCTAGTCAAACCCGGAGGTAGGAAAAGAACGAAATGGAATTTTCTTTAGTGGATGAAGAGATACAGTTTTGTCCAATAAGTGTTGGGCTGAGAAGTACTTGAAGGCAAGGGAAATATATTGAAAAAGTTCTGGAGATGAGATAGTGCTTCAAATCCGTAGATTCACTTAAACAGATCGTTTAAATACAGCCAGAAAAAACTTTCAGCTGAATAAATGAGGATTCGGTAATAGGCCAAAAAGAATTTTATTAAATTTCACCACATTCTCCTCTGTTTTCTTGTTCTCCCATTAATTAAATAAAATTATATGTAAAGCACACAGTTGTGTAAAGCACACATCAAAGGTGTTCAGTGTTGCTGAGTTCTTTACTTTTCAGTTTTTTCTTCTGTTTTCTTTTCCCTCCGTTCTGTCCCTTTGTGTTCCTTTTCTCTTTCTATTTATAGCTAATCATGTTTCAGTTGTTTAAATTAATGCAAGTGCAAAAATAATTCAAAACCTCAGGTAAATACAAATTTCTGGCAACCGAGTAAGTAGAAGTCGACTTCACAAATCTCAGTTAACAAGGTTTTCCTCCCATTCATACAGATGAGACGTATCAAAACAAGCTGATAATATGTATGGTTTTCCTTTTTCCTAACTAAACCTTTTAGATTTGGAGCTGAAGTTATTATTTGACTCCTTTTTTAGTTTATTTCATTATAAATTAATTGATGCTCAAACTGCATTGTAATACAACCTTATTGAAAAACTATTTAACAGTATCTACCTAAAGTAAATGTACATTTAAACTTATGACATAGCAATGCTACTCATCGTATGCAACCAAGAGCTTATGTATCCATCGATATACACAAGGAAATTTACGTCAATAAAAGCCCAGGCTGGGAACAACCAGATGTTTACCAGCAGAATAGATCAATCCATTTTGCTATGTATTACTCAGAACTAAAGATGAACAACAGATGTTGGACACAAAAAGAGTACGTATTGTGTGATTCATTCTACATGAAGTTGAAGTTCAAACAAATTGAATCTGTGGTGCTGGAAGTTAGAATAGTGGTTACCAACTGGTTAATAGAAATAGACTGTAAATAGATTGAGAAGGCCACACGGAAACCTCTTAGTTATAAATTGTCTAAAGACTGATCTGGATAGAGGTTCACATTTGTGTACAAAAATATTCATCAAGCTATATAATTTGTATGCTCTGTGTAAGCTACAACCAAACACGTATTGTATGATTTTTGTTTATCCCCCAAAGGGTAACTGATACTAAGTATATGTTTTTTGTTTGTTGGTTGGTTTTTGTTTTTACTAAGGCAAGGAGGTTATGCTGATAACCTCCTTGCCTTAGTCAACTCAATATCATCTGTTGCTCTTAACAGATGATATTGAGTTGACTTTGCATTTGGTGGCCACCGTGTGAACTGAGCTCTTATTATGTTTGATTTTGATCTTCAAAGCTGCTTTGCTTTTCAAAAAGTTTTTAATCAAGCAATTAGTATTATTTTGCATTTTGTTGACCTTATGCAGATTAGAAGTAGCTTGAGGAGGTTTACGGTAAAAAGGAAAAGCCTGCCCAAGTTTGGAAGTTAACCAAGGATGGGCTGCATATTTAAATATTAAGATATTTAATATACGAAATTACATATTATATGTTACAATATATAACTATATATTACATTGATATTTA